GCAGGATCTTGCAGCAGGTCTTGAGGGAGAGAAATACACGAGGGAGAGGTGTCACAACACGAGTAGCTACTCAGCATTTTACATCTTGAGAGTCTCGTGCTTGGAGGAGAGCACCTAAACCACTCTGCCTGCTCCTCCCTGCCCATCTTTTGTGCTCTGAGCCTCAGTGACCGGCACTGGGAACATCTGAGGAGCAGCAGTGCTGGGTCTGGAGTGGTGTGCAGGAAGAAGGGAAATGGGACAGAGGAGGACAGGGGGACAGCAGTGCAGCACCACAGCCTGGCCCGTGCCCGTTGCTGTTCCCTGCCGGGACCTGAGCTGTGCCCTGCGCTGTGGGACAGGCCCTTCCCAGAGCCCTTCCCAGCCTGACCCACCACTGGTGTCCTGCAGCTGCTGAAGATCGCCTTCGACGAGGAGGTGGCCTCAGACAGCGCCGAGATCTTCCGGAAGCACCTGCACAAGCTGCGCTACCCCCAGCACGTGCGCGGCACCTTCGCCTTCACTGTGGGCCAGTCGCCCAAGCAGGCCATGCAGCCCAAGGCCAAGGAGAAGAACCCCTCGCTCAGGTACCGTGGGGGGGACACAGCATGAGGGGCACCTGACCCTGGCAGGGCTTCTCCTCTCCCTCCTCTGTGCACCCTGCAGAGAGCTGCTGAGCGGGGCTCGCTTGGGAAAGGGGCAGAACCCCCGAGCTGGAGGTGGAGGTCCCTGGGACCTCTGCTTGTGGACCTCTCCTAGTGCAGGATCTCCACTTGTCCTTGTCAGGGGACACGCTGCACGCCCAGAAGAGAACCAGTCAGATGTCCGCTTCTATGGCAGCCCTGCCCCATTCCCCAGCCCACAGCCCCATGGAGGTGTCCAAGGGAGAGGCTGCAGGGGTGTGAGGGACAGGCTGGGCTGTGCTGCAGGACGGGAGCTGCAGGACGGGAGCGCTGTGGGTGGTGGTGGAGCCCTGGAGGAGGTGCTGCCCTGCAGCCAGCCCCTGCTCCTGTGCTCGGTGGCAGGGACAGGCACGGCTGGGCTCGCTGCTGCTCCGCTTGCTTGCTGTGCCCTGCTCTAAGCCCCTCTCCCATGTGTTTGTGACTCAGCTCCCAGCAGGTCACCGATATGTTCCAGGGCCTGGCAGTGGGGGTCATGTCCCTCGGGCACCTTGGCCATCCCAGCACGTAAGATGCCTTCAGCCTGGGCGGGAGCTTGCGAGGTGGCATTGGCTCTGGCTGCACCTTCACTGCTCCCAGGGTTTCTTCTAACCTGCTCTGCATGTGGCCTGGGGCTTGTCTCTTGGGAATGCCCTTTTCCAGGCGTCTGGTCTGAGGGTGTGCTCTCACCACGGCAGCACCGTGCTCAGAGGTGGTTGATCCATTCATTGATCAGCCATCCTTGGGCTCCATGGCACTGTGGTGGACCCAGGACATGGAGCTGTGTCTCTACAACCTCCAGAGACCTCTAGAGCTGCCAGGTCTGGGCACAGTCTCCAAAGTGCCTTTGAGATCATAGAATTACAGATCGGTTTGGAGTGGAAGGGGCCTTAAAGCTCATCCAGTTCCCAAGCATCTGAACTTGTGAGATGGGCTTTGTCACCCCCCTCCAAGGCTGCTTCCAGTGGTCCACACTATCTGCAATCCTTGGTCCTCCCTTTCCCAGTCTCCCAACCTTAGCATTCATTCTCAGGACAGCGTTCTTCCTCCATCCTGAGGCTCTCCCTCCCTTGGTATATGTAGGGAGCAGTTGGAGTCCTTCACCATCCACTTTGCAAAGGCAAACAAGACACCTCTAGGTCTCACTTTGAGCCCTGTCTTGATCAGGTGAATGTGTAGAAGTCTTTCATCAGTTTAGCTGTTGTCTTGGTTGGCCATGGCCCATTCCCTGTGGGATGTATGTCCCACGTCTCCTTCATTTGTTCCCCTTTGAGCTGATGGGCTCACTGAGGTGGTGATGCACATGAGGTCCTGCATGTGGGCAGGACACATTCCTGCCTTCAGGAATTCCTGCCTTCTGGAGCTCCATCATATGGAGCCTGTTCTGACCATGCAGCCTTGTCTCCTGTGGATTTTGGAAGGTCTCCCTTCCTTCTTTCCATGGGATGCCCTTAGGAATGGCTGGACCCAGCCATGCTCTCCCTGTCCTACATGGCATAGAGCAGGTCACCTTCCACAAGCCACCCTGTGTCCAGGGTGGGCTGAAAACCAACCTTTGGTAGTCTCCTGGCCCCTGTCAGGAGCCAGAACCTCTGGGGATGGGCTGGATCATTGCCTGCTGGAGTTCCGGTGTGGAGGTGATGGAATTAGAGCCAGGACAAAGCTTCCCTCGGGATGGGAGGCTGGAGCTCCTGCCCAGCCTGGCAGCTCCATCCATGGACAGGCAAACCTTGCAGCCCTGCCCCTGCTTGGTGCCCTCCACAGCCAAGGCACTGGCTCCCCCGGCCAGGGAGCCATGAGGTGGCATCTCCCCTCCTGTGGTGACAGTGACCACAGCCCCACGCCTGTAGCCGGTGGTGAGGGACGCGCCTGTCTCTGCTTTGCTCTCGATGTGACTGGGTGTTGGTGTCTCTCAATCCTGTGGGGGCTGCTTGTGGGGCCATGGGGCTGTGGCCACGTGAGGTGGTGCTGGGGGTCTCAACCTGTTCTCTGGTTCCAGGACACTCTCCAAAAACCTGGTGAAAAACGCCAAGAAGACCATCGGGCGGCAGTACGTGACACGGAAGAAGTACACCCCCCCCATGTGGGAGCAGAGGGGCAGCCAGCACTTCCCCGAGGACAACGAGGATGAGATCTCAGGTTGGGAAGGGAGGCTGCAGGGCGCGGGGTGTTGGATGGGGCAGGAGCATCTTCCAGGTCATAGCCATCACTCTGCAGGGCAGAAGGCACAGGAGCTTCCCTGGTGCAGAGGGTTGTCACTGTGGTCACCTCTCCCAGTTCTTGATGGTCCATCAGCTCTTACCTGGTGGTGGTGGCCAGTCAGCAACTCAACATACTCTCAGTGAGCACTGTGGAGAGGAGGGAGTTCTTTGGTCTCAGCTCTTCAGATGAGAAGTCCCAGATGTCAGCTGCAGCCAGTTTAGGTTAGACATGAGAAGAGCTTGACTGGTCTGAGAGTAACAAAGGACTGGAAGGGACACCTTCTGTGTGGAAGGTGACAATGCTCCTAGGTGGGAAGGCTGGTCAGAGAAGATGTGGTGGATGGGATTTAGGGTTTCAGTGGGGAGTGGTATCTGTTGGGACCTGTCCCTCCTGCTTCATGTGGGGCCAGTCCAGCAGACTGGACATGGCTGATTTTGGATCTTCTCTTCTGTTCATTAAGGTAGTTTGGGTGCCTTTGAGGTCATAGAATCCCAGCCTGGTTTGGGTTGGAAAAGACCTTAAAGCTCCTCCAGTTCCAACCCCTGCCCCGGGCAGGGACACCTTCCACTAGAGCAGGTTGCTCCAAGCCCCTGTGTCCAACCTGGCCTTGAACACTGCCAGGGATGGGGCAGCCACAGCTTCTCTGGAGCTGTTCCCCTCTAAGGGAGGAGATGAGGCCCATTGGTGGAGCAGCTCTGGCCGCTCAGTGTTGGGCTGTTCCCCATGTCTCAGTGATATCAAGCGATGTGAAAGCACCAAAGAAATCTCTAACATCAGTCCGCAGGCAGCAACTGACCTCTCTGTGCTCTTAACCTCACAAGTGAAGGCTCCTGCCCTAAAGCCCAGTGCCCAGCCCTTTGGGGCAGCTGAGCTTCACCATTTCAGGTGAAGGTGGTGGGATGGAGCTGCTGCCCTGTCTGCTGGGTTGGATGATGCTCCAGCCCATCTGCTTTCTCCAGCAGCGTATGGGACATCTCAGGGGAAGGTGGTGGGATGGAGTTCCTGCTCTGTCCTGTCTCTGCTGGGTTGGGAGATGCCTCCAGCCCGTTCACCTCCACCAGCAGCGCATGGGGGATGGTGTCCGTGCCGGACCCTGACCCCCTTTGTCTCCGCAGTGTCTGAAGAGATGGACAGAAGCACTTTGACCCCCACCACTACCATGAAACCTTCAGACAAGATGACCATCAACCACCTGGTGGAGCGGGCCTGCTGCCGGGACTACCAGCGCCTGGGGCTGGGC